GACGTGTCTTTTATTAATTCCTGCAATTTTGTGTTCTGGTAAATACGAGAATCATGCTGCTTGTTCGAGGTCCGAATCTTCTCCGCGCCGAACCCTCTACGCCAACTTTTCCAGAATCCCACGCGCTTACATAAAGGGCCCCGCGTGCCGAGACGGAATAAGTCTCGCCACAGCGTGCAATCCTACTGTCACGCCGTCATTGACGCCTGCGACGCTCTACTGGTATCTTCTGTTTCCTTTTTGTTTCGGGCAAAAGTTCGCCCCATTAAACGTTTAGTTCCTTCAGTTACCATGCATCGCCTCATCAATTGTAATATGTGACAATATGCTTTACTCACAATTAATGTCATCTTAGATACACTTCTCAGATAAGCTAGAATAATGTCTGGTTTTACACTATTTTTTATATTTTTAACTTGTTTATTAAAATGATGCAATTGGCAGCAGTTATGATAATTTGCCAGCTTTGGACTGCCATAGTTGTTCGCGCGTTTGGAATTGGATCACAGGCAACGAATTATACCAGAGCTTGAAAAATTACGCACCTTAATTGTATTATTATTAATACAGAATGTGGTAACGTAGTAGGTCCCTTCAATAAATGCCACAATTTAAAAAATACGCCATCAATTATAATATACATTTCAGAAAGGTACCATGTAGTTTTCTCTTCAGCAAATGAAAAAACTGATATTTTTATCAAAATAGACATAAATACTTCATATAATATTGTCACATCGGTCTCACGTTGCCTTAAAGAACAGAAACACATATCTTCTCTGACTCGGATTCCGTTTTCTTTTTCGCAGTACGAACATGCTTTTCTTAGTTTATGCGTTTTGTGATCCTATTTTAAACTCATAACATGTGGAGTAATATTGTAAATTTTGGATTGATTCAGTTAATCTTATGTCGGGAATAATGACAAAGCAATTAATCACCTAAATGCCCCAAACCCATTAAGCCGAAGCTCATTATTTCACATGATACTCACCTGAGTAAAAAAATATCCCCTAAAACTTAAAAAAATATCAAAGCATATTTTCAACACATTTAATGGTTGGTGTTACTTCTAAGATGTGTGAAAGACCCTGCCTTTAAATAAATACCTAACATTTATAAAATAGTTTTAAAGGCATGGATCGGACACGTAGTAAAGTAGTGATTTGACCTAGCTGGTACTGCAACATTTCTTCTGCCCAGGGTTGATCAAAGTATTCTCGAGTCTCTCAGTTCCCTGCCGGTATAAAACGTGTTTAGCTATGTCGATGACTTTTATATTGAGTGCGAGAAAGGGGCGAAGGTGATGTTATATATCTAGTATTCGAAACTTTTGTTAAGTGCGGTTCAGGTCTAAAGTTTACGTTGAAGCAACCCAAGAATGCGACCTTGCGATTTCTACATCTTTCGTTATCGGCAAAAGCCTATCACCTATGCTGGCCCTTTTCTCCCAGGTCAAAGAAAGTCATTCTGCATTACAGACCCCCTTATTCTAAGCTTGTCAAAAGGGGCATAGCCATCTCCGTTCCAGGCTCGGCCCTGGCAAAGTCGAGCTATCATGTTGTTAATTACAGTTGTAGATTTAAGCTTAAACACCTTGAAAACCCTGGTTTTCTTCAGGCAGTCCTAATAGAGGTTATGGAGTCCTTGTTAAAAAAGGTAAAGGGGGTTAGCAAACGCAGGCAAAATATTACTAAAAACAGTTGTGTAAAAAAATTGTGCCACAAAGTAACGCAAATAGCCAACGTGTGTGATGTTGCAGTGGTATTTTCTGCACCCCAGAGTTTAGCTAAGATCTGTGCAAAGGTGGGCTCTGCAATTGACAATCGTTCACGAACCGCATGCTTCAAGAAACACAAGAACAAGTTTGTTTCCTGCTCGGAAGGTTAGTTCAAAATTCCCCTAACGTGTGGTGGTTGCTACATAGGACAGACTGAAAGATGCCTCAACAACCGGCTTAGGGAACTTTTCTATTCCCTTCACGCCATGGTGGGAGGGCACCTGCCTACACACTGTCTCCCCTGTCAGTGCACACCGACTTTTCGTGACACACCTATACTCGGGAGATTTCAAGATCGGACTGCCGGAGAGATACTCGAGGCCTATCAAATAAAAAAAAACAAAAACAAAAAAAAAAACAGGACACCAATGCGTGAGCCATCCTTCGTTGTCGTTGAGTGCCCAAGCAGGTGTTATTTTTATCCAACACCTACGGCGAGCGAATTTGCCGTATTCTGTATTTTGTATTCGTCCTATCATTTTTCTTTCTTCTTTTTTTTTTGTTTTACGGCGGTGCTCTACGGTTCATTCTTTCTTTTCTTTCTTGCCTCAAATTAATCCAGTCTGTTTATATTTTCTTCGTTCTCTTTTTCTCTTTATTTGATATAACGTAAGCTCCATTTCTATGGCTTCTTTTTTCTCCTCTTTCAAAATAAATCAGTTTTGAGTGAGCGCTCTTTCGTTCTACCCGTCGTTTCCTCTTCCTCTGTGTTCTGTACCCTATTTTATCATATGGGACACGTATGTGAGAAAATAAAATTTCCGCGAACAATTTGTTCAGCTCAGCACTTACGCTATGAAACAGATGTTGGTGTAGGAGAGACACGGAAATTAGCACCCATATCGAGAAATTAAATTCATAAATATAATTAGTTTCAGTTTTGTTACTAAATTGGTACGTGACTCCTACCGCAAATATAGCGCTAAACGCCGATATTTTTCACAATGAAAGGTTATTTGGGCGTATGACACACTAGGTTTCTTGTATAAGCGGAAATAATTTGTGTCACTCAGTGAAACTGGCACACTGGACAAGCTCAGTAACAGGCATAGCAAAACGCAGCCTCAGCCCTAACTATGACCACCACTTTAAAAAATGAGTGGTGCCAACTATAGACAGTTGGAGTCACGAATAAGCAAGAATTATTTTTATCGTCCCGAAAACAACCTTTCTAAAGCGCGTGTCTAAAGCGCGTGAACATAATTCAAACAAGGTATTCGCCTCACTTCAGCCTTTGTCGCACCCTTTTCAAACATTTCCAATATAAGGGGTGTTCAATGCCACGGTACCCTATTTTACAATTGAGAAGGGTGTATTAGGTCAAAATAAGGGTGCTGAAGGGTGAGTGTAAGTCTTGGAAAAAGCGTTTTACCCGTTTACCCCATGTATGCCGAGTTGTTTTCCCAAAAGGTTTTTCCAAGTGGTCGACTTCTGTCCTCAAAGTATTAGCGTCATAGTATAAAGAGTGGGTCGATCCACATATTTATTCCCAATTATCTTACGTGAGTACATAAAGTATTCACAAGCTATACAGTTTTAGAAGCATCAAATAGAAGTACAGAAGGTGAAAAGTCGACATCATTCTTACGTTCGGTTTCACTTTGCGCTCCCGCTTTCGCGATAATTCAGCAGATTCAGATTTCAATCCTGCAGTGTTTTACGCCGTTTTCTCATAGGATGGTAACCTCTGAGTATCTGCATTCAATTCTAAGGAGCATTGAAGAGTCTGGATCGCAGTAGCCGGAAAGTAGCGCGCTGCCTCAAGCGGGGTGCCTGAGTCATTATGGGGAACAGCAAGGGATGCTTCTCCGTCGTCAGCTGCTAGCACCGTAGCGACTGCGAGAACCACGTTGCCTATATTCGCGTTGGGTCTCTCTGTACGGCAGACGGCCATCTTTGCAGCGTCCTGCGCTGCGGTCATTTTCCCACATACGGTGAGAGCCCTCAATCACCGCATGTCTGTCCGCTGCCCTCTTTTGCATGGACCATCGTTCTGGATTGGCCACTGCTCTTTTTAACATGAAAGCGTTAAGGCGGTCGGTTCGCAGAAAAGCCGGCGTCAGTGGCGTGACGCGCAAATTCTAATTGGTTGCGGGGTTGATGACGTCACAACAACATGTCCTCGAGCGGGAATTTCAAACAATCCACTACGCTCGCGTGAAACGTGACGTCAAGCGTAAAATGAAAGTTAATAAAACATGACATGTAATGCGAATTAAAGGTCGCCGCATGTCTCAAATCATTTCTATTTTTAAAGTGATTACTTTGCTTTAAAGAAATATTTTTAAAATTTTAGGCGGGATTGGAGCCCGCCACCCTTCGGTGGCCAGCCGGACACGCTACCGTCTATATACTCTGCTCACTTTTAAGCTGAGACTTGAATCGCCGCACTTAGTGCGAGCATTCTACCCTTGCTAACACAACACAAGGCACGCGCAACCAAAGCACTGCTGAAACTAGTTAGCTGACACTGAAGCCGGAGTTTTTAGACTCAGCTTAAGGGTCAACTAAGAATAAGACACTCAAGGCACTCTTGCACGGTGAAGGAGAAGGTAATGCGAACGGGACCCGATAACGCTATCGCGTTTTTATTGGACCATCGCGCTTGGCCCACACGCCAAAAGAGCGAGATATCACTCCGTATCAAATGAGCTATTTTTCTTTTTGCTACGGGAATTAGTTTATTAAGTTGGTACATTCTATTTTCCTTCGGCAATGAACTAAAATGCATCTGGTTTTAACAACGCTTGAGTATAGTTTTCTCGCCTAAATGTATGAATGTATTAAGAATGGCGCTGCTACTCGGGCAGTAGCGTGCGACACCTATCATGTAAAAGTTCGAATACGCTAGAGTTACCTTGGCTAAAGGGCGGGACACCCCTCGCAGTTCCCATACTTCCCCGTCGCGGTCAATGGTGGCACTGGCGTTTCAGAAATGTCCACTAACACCACAGTCAGAGAAGCAGACATGCTAAACAATCCTCTGACGCGTGTCACTTGCGCAAAGCGTCTAGTATCAAAACTAGAAATAGCCCCAGCAGAACGAAATACTACTCGAATATAACGTTCAATGTTCGCGAAAAACACAAAAATAGCAACATCTCGTGTTGCGCTCTAGTTATCGCCTTTATGCGGGCGCCATCGTATGTGTAATCGTCATCGTACCTTTATTTCGACGACCGTCAAAAAGATAAGAGATAGTGTGAAGACGCCTACTTGCCTCGAACATGGAGAGGCTGTCCGATGTCTTTGCCAGGAAGCACTGCGAGTAGTTAGTCCACGTCTGGCCATGCAGCGGGTTGAGGTACCAGGTGCCATTCTCCGTGCACAGCTTGCTCGCAGTCCCTGCACCCACCACCCGTTGTAGGAAGGCCGTCGCCATATATGTCATTGGAAGCAATGAATCGAGAGTTCACTGTCGAAGAACGCACGTAATGTGGTGGGCGAAGATGGAAAGCGCGGAGGTATTTTAATGAAAATGGGACCTTTTCGTGCATACAACAAATAGAAGCAACCACGGTCCGTAAGCAAGTAGGAATGGCCGTTAAGAGATGCTTTACCTTATAATTCCAAGCACTAACTTCAGAAACATGCAGAATATGTTTTTCTCTAATAAATAAATATTTTTTGTCATAGCCTTTTTATTCATTGCGACGTTTAAAAGAGCAGCCTTACGAGATAAAGGTAAAATTAATTGCTTTAATTTTAATGGGTTGTGTATTGAGCTTCTTTTTCTTTAGTTGAGATATTGCAAAAAGAGGTCAGTTGTCTGTTATCAAGATATATTTGTTATGTTACATAATGCTTTTTTGAATAACAGAGACTTTTGACGTGCTGTTGAGGTATGGATTTAGGCTGTAAAATGCTTCGCGAAAGCAAGTATTGCTCAAAGAATACATTAAAAAAAGTTGCGATAGGGGCAAGAGGTTTGTGTTGATCGCGGCGTTCTCAGATGTCCGCAATATCGCCAAATGAAGGTAATAAAGCGAAGACACTCCAAACTCTGATGTCTCGTTAGATGCAAACCTTTTTGAAGTTATTTTCTTTCTTTAGTTACAGAAAGGCTATTTTATTTTAAGTTACTAAGCGACCCAATAGCACCAATAAAAGTATTTTTACACTTTAAAAACAGCTATTACTATATTGACGAAGCTCTATATGTTTTTATATCACACGTGCCAAAAAATATATGAAAATATAAATTACCGCCCCCCATATGGGGCAGTAATCTACTTATTACGACCTTAAACTCGCGCGGTGATGTCTACAGTAGCCGACAACGAGATCGCGAAGAAAATCAATTATTTTTTCCAAGCCGTATTTTTTTTCTAATTTGACTAAGTTAACCATATTGCACAAACAAAATAAAGAAGAAATAAACAGTTCTAGTTAAGTACGTGGACCTTTAAAAAAAATGCTCCAAGATCTCAGGCGCTGTGCTTTATTGGGTGTTTCCCAAAACCCTGAACCAAAAATATTAATATTTTTGTCTTAGTGTTTTGTGTTTCCCTACCCGCTTGCAATCACGCTTTTAGTTAATGCAATTCCATTTCCCGTAGAGTAAAGAAAGTGGATATACGGTTAATTTTGGTTTTATTTTGCCTATTTTCTTTGCATTTGGATACGAATTTTAGCGTCTTATAAAATAAAGGCGCGTGTTCGTCGTTTTTTCCCTTTTATTCTATAGAATAAATCATCAACTAGCCCATGTGCATGCATTTAGTTAGAGTCGTGTTTGATTTGGGAAAGCACTGTTTACACGTCAAAACATGATGAGTACGATCAAAAAGGTCCTTGGACAGCACAGACTTCCCTGACATACGTTTCCACAGAACGTGTTTCGACAAAGGCCATTCTGGCCAACAAAGGCCATCTGATTGCTCAAGCTTACGTCCCCCGTAATTCGCAAAACCGCTAAGAGAATACGAGTGAATTTGCAATGTATTCAACTAGAACATGTTTTCATACTCCTAAAGTTCAATCTTAACATATACGCCTCGCAAGTGGGCACATTTTCGTCTTCTGCGCATGATAAAGGAAGTGGCGGTGACGTCAGAACGCCGAGCCCTAACTGGCTGATCGCGACCCCCTATCTCAGCGTCGTCTGCTTCTTTGCAACGTCGTCTGCTCGCAACGTCGTCTGCGTCTGTCTTACCTTTCGTTCGACTTTCGGAAGTGCAGTTCTTTACGAGCGAGCTCGACTTCGCCTTTTCGAGAGGGCAGACGAAATAACTGGAGCGGTACATTGTTTTTGTCTTTAACAACTAGCAGACGCGCATCAAGGAGAGAAGTCAAGGGACTCACTGGCGAGGTGCTCTGAGGCGCCGAGGTTTGTTTCCTAACAACCAAGAGTGAGCGTGTTAGTGTCCGCAAGTTCCCTCCCAAATACTTTTTCCCTCCTTTCGTGTGCGGCGAGACCCCTCACTCTTTAACGCAGTTAATGTCGTCTGCTCTACGTCTGCTGGTCGATGCGATGGCTGCATTACCTTTCCTGTGTCTGTCGTAGATTCACCGCCTTTTCACCGGCGACAGTCATCGTTGCCCCGGAAAACAAGGGGATAGCAAGAGGAAGAAATTTACCTCTTAATCTAAAATTGAGGTCAGTGATCAAAGTATAATACTGGAAGGGCTCACAAGGGTCGCGCGGGCATATTCCATTCAGTACGCCAGCCGGTCGTAGGCAGACGGTCGCCGAGTCGCTGAGTTCCTGCTAGGCCTACCTGCCAAACTCGCTTGGTCGCGTTCGGTGGAATCGTTTCCGTTGGAGCTTTTCCCGGGTGTTTCTGGAACCAGCGTTCCTGTTCGCCGTGGTCTGTTCTAAGTAATTTTTACTTTTTTTCTTGCAGCTTGAAGTCGTGACGCGTGAGAAGCACACGTAGAAAAATAAACGTTTGTGGGTCGTCGCGACCGCGAAGCTGTCGGTCATGCTGATTTTATCGTAAGAAGTGCGTAAGACAGCTTCGGAGCTGTCGTAGGATTTTGTCGTAACCTGCGCAAAACTTACGAAAATTTTGTTTCGTGAATACCAATTTGTTCTTAAGTTTTGTCTTACGCACATTCGTAAGACTGTTTCGTGAATCTGGCCTCTGCACTACTGAAAGTCGCAGGAAAGGTAAAACAGACGCCGACGACGTTTCGAGCAGACGACGTTGAGAAGGAGCAGGCGACGCTCAGATAGGGGGTCGCGATCAGCCAATCAGGGCTCGGCGTTCTGACGTCACCGCTACCCCCTGCGCAAGAAGCAGACCAACTTGCCCTCCGCATGAATTATATCACCTAACTGGTGCCCATCGTGAGCACGCACACCATGACAAATATTCTTTGATAACCACGCAGCTTTGATATAGACATGGAAGCTACCACAGACTATGTTTTCGAGCTAAATGTGACGCTCTTTCACCAGCTGATCCTTTATCTCTTTCACCGATTACTGAGATTATAATTATGCAAGGCAACCTGATTCAGCCAAAAAATAGGCGCTACACGTAAAAGGCGTATATTTAATAAAATATTTCGAGATTTCAAGCCGGAGCTACTACAGGGTGCGGCCGTAAAAACTTTCACATTTGGCACGCCTAGCAAAAAACGAATTTCAAACGTATATACCTGAAATTGGGCACACGAACGTCGTTTATTCCAAAGTTTTTTGCCTATTTTTTTCAAGCGTCAACTCTGGAGTAGCGAATTATTAGAAAGATAACAAAAATGGCAGGCGTGCATTTCCTATGGCCTATACCCGCCCGTTCGCCGTCTGCTATCTAATTCGCGACGCCGCTCCCAGATGGCGTACTGAACGCAAAAACGCGGGAAACGCCGCACGAAAGGCTGGTGTCGGGCGAGATAATCACAATAAAAAGTGATTTTACCGAAATATGTGAACGAGTATGCCCTTTTACTTGAAATTTAGAAACTGGCGGACTCCCTCGTTTAATAAAAATATGTTCTAAAGCAGACGAACGTGTGTCTTCATTTGTCGTCTGCTTATCTGTTGACGGGTCCGTTCCCGGTGAAAGCTCAACTTTGGAATCAAGAGTGCCGCTGCTGAGGCATCTTGATTGTTCCTATTTATTGCTTTTGTTGCACTGTCTTCTGCAGTTATTATCAGAATATTTTCCACGCCGCCCTGCGATGCCACAATATTCGGCAAGTGAGTGTGCCCAGGCAGTCAAGTTGTACGTGGAGCGGAACTCGGTGGCCACAGCACAACGAAAATTTCGCACTGCATTTCATAAACGCCCGCCTTCACGCCCAACTGTTTTGAGTTGGGTGGATCGTTTTGTGAGTGAAGAAGACTGTAAAAAAAAGAATCCAGTCAGTGAACGTGAGAGCCTACTGAAAAATGAGGAGCTCATTGAAGCGGTGCTTGCTGTCTTCGAGAGCGACCCGCAATTGTCAACAAGACGAGCAGCTGTAAATAAATTTATGATCTCGTCGCATCATGGTGTCTTCTTGCTTGCATGACGATCTGTCAGAACTTGACTTGAAACAGGTAATTTCAACAATTCTTCATATATTTGGTTCAAATCACTTTTTATCGCGATTATCTCGCCCGACACCAGCCTTTCGAGCGGGTTTCCCGAGTTTTTCAGAGCCCTTTATAAAAGGGCTCTGGAGTTTTTGCGTTCAGTGCGCCACCTGGGAGCGGCGTCGCGAACCAGATAGCAGACGGCGAACGGGCGGGTATAGGCAGTATAGGCCATAGGAAATGCACGTCTGCCATTTTTGTTATCTTTCTAATAATTCGCTACTCCAGAGTTGATGTCTGAAAAAAATAGGCAAAAAACTTTGGAATAATCGACGTTCGTGTGCCCAATTTCAGGTATGTATGTTTGAAATTCGATTTTTGCTAGGCGTGCCAAATGTGAAAGTTTTTACGGCCGCACCCTGTATATCAAAAAAGTCAGCGGTATCGTAAATTATAACTCTTTTCTTTTTTTAGAGGTTCAGAGAGTAATGGGATTCAACCGAGAGTGACAAATGTTAGGAATGAGTCCCGGATGGAGATCGACTATCAATGTAATTATTTTAACACTAACATGAACATTATCGAAGGGCGCAGTTTTAAAACAATAATGTGCATGTTTACGCCAAAATAGTATAGGTTAGAAATTACAAAGAAGATTACAGCGAGCTGGTCAAATTTTAACATTGTAAAACCCGAGACGTCTAGGGTTTTACAATGTTGCATAGGTTGTTCTTTAATGTTAATGAATGCTTTGTTATCACTAGCTACGTTTATGTGGATGCGACAGTAGCGCACGAAATTGAGAAGGAACCAATCACACGCGCCTAGTCCCTCCCATTCTTACTGTTCTACCAAATCGCAATCATCATATACTGATTCA